GGGAGACTGATGGATTTCTCAGTAGGACACTGTTTACCTTTATCTGTCTTAGGTCAGGTTCCCTGGAAGCAGAGCCTGAAATGAGGCTTCTTTTACAAGGCATTTAGCCAGGGCATGGTCTCAAGAGGGAGGTATTAGGTGCAGAGGGAAGCAGGCTAGGGTAGGATGTGGGCTGAGGCCAGGGATTCCAGAAAACCCTCTCAACTGGCCATTTATTAGCCAGTTAATGTAGGAGCTCCAGGCCAGAAAGCAGCTTATTGCAGTTTTTGCATATATTGCATATATTCCAATTTAGCCTGTATAGAATTGACCTTAATTACAAAAGTAATACGGAGTTTAGAATATTCTTAAATTAAAATTCCACATGAAACTCATGTTTAACCAAATAGAGAATGAAGTAAACTGTCATCTGTTTGTGAAATCTTTTGATTTTTTTAATTAAGGTTGAAATTTACAGGCAAACCAACTCTAACTCCACTTCAAAAAAAAAATCACAAATAATCTTCAATTTGCCCAGTCTCTAAAAATAGCATTTAACTAAATTCTAACTCTGAAAAATATTCACACAAGTTAAGGACAAATTTTAAGAAAAGGAAAGTATTTAAATTTATCAGCTAAACTGAGTTTCTTTTTAGTTGCAACAGTCTAAATGATTCACAGCAAAAAGAAAGTCTTGCCATAAACATAATTAAGGTTCTTATCAAATGTGTTTATGCAATTTTCCGATTGCCTTGAACAGTTCATTAAAACCATTCAGAGGACTTTGGGACCATGATTCACTTCCACTCTGTGGTCACCTTTTCTTCAGGATTGGAATGGGATGATTGAAAGTGAATTTCAAATATGGCCAGGAAATGCACATTCAAATGCATTACAGAATGCAAACAGCAATGTTCTTACATTTCATCAAAGCTACCATTGGAGAATATTTCCCATAAAGTTTTCATTCAGGACTAAGATGTTTAATGAAAAACCAAATCAGTCATTTGGCTTTCCTTCCTTCCTAAATCCGCCAGTGGAGATGTCGGTCACCAGGAGTCAGGCCAGGTACATTGCTTGCCTCCTGGAATGCACCTGCCGGTCCTCTGCAGCCATGACTGCATGTGGTCGACATTCTCTGTTGGAGCGGAAGCAGCCTTAGCCTGGACTCTCCTGCCTGAGGGGGGCTCATGGGGAATCCTAGGGAGTCAGGAGAAGCAGGTTGGAGATCCGGCCAACTCACAACCTTCCTCCTGGGGTGGCGGCCCCTGATTTCTCCATCCGTGGTGGTCGACCTAGCGGGTTATTTGAGGGCACTTCAAGAAGGTCATGGGAAAATGGAATGACAAGATAAGTTTATTTTAGTGCAAATCTTTTTTGAACTCCCTGCATAGTTTTTTCATATGATGCATTTTTTCATGCACTGTTTTGAAGTCCACGTAACTGAGGGGTCTTCAAAATGCTCATGGAAAATGCCTGGCATGAAAAATCTAGGCATGAACTTCAAAATATCCTGCTCCAAAACAGACTTATCTTGTCCTTCTATTTTCTACAAACTTTTTGAAGTGCTTCACATGCTTTCTTGTTGCAGCTGATAAAGAAGAAAGTTACTCCGTATTAAGAAGTCAGAAGCTTTCTAAGTGCCTTAGATGAGTTGAATTTGATATTCACCATACCAGGGAGACGGATGCCATGGATTACCTCCTCCTATACATCAGGGAGGTTGAGTGATATGGATATTCAGTGATGCACACAAGTGGGGTTGCCAGAAAGAGTGGTTCTGATTCCACAGCCTAAACTTTGTAATCACTGCCTCTTCCTTGATGTTATTCTTTACGAGGATGTTCTACAAACAAAACTAACTGAGAACTTAGGGGAAAAAGAGTTAAAATAGTCACAAGGTGAAGCTAAGTTTTAAGGCCTCCTGCACTGCCCTTACTCTGTTCTTAATGGCACTAGGAGGGATCCTTCCAAAGAATAAATGTGATTGCCCTGCTCTTCTATTTTACTTTATTATTACTTTTAATTCATTTATTTGAGACTTAGAGGAAGAGAGAGACCCCCATCTGCTGGTTTATTCCCCAAATGCTCCCAGCTGTGCTGGGGTGGGGGATAAGGCCAAGGTCTGGGAACTCAATCCAGGTCTCCCACGTGGGTGGCAGGCACCCAATCACTGAAGCCACCAGTATGCCTCCCAGGGTGTGGAATCAGCCAGAATGTGGAGTTGGGAGCCAGAACCAGGGCGTTTTGATGTGGGATTCTCATCATTTTTTTTAAAGATTTATTTATTTATTTGAAAGTCAGAATTACACAGCAGAGAGAGGAGAGGCAGAGAGAGAGAGAGAGGTCTTCCATCTGATAGTTCACCCCCCCAATTGGAAGCAACGGCCGGAGCTGTGCCGATCCAAAGCCAGGAGCCAGGAGCTTCCTCCAGGTCTCCCACGTGGGTACAGGGGCCCAAGGACTGCTTTCTCATGCCATAGCAGAGAGCTGGATCGGAAGTGGATTAGCCGGGTCTCGAACAGGTGCCCATATGGGATGCCGGCGCCTCAGGCCAGGGCGTTAACCCACTATGCCACAGCGCCGGCCCTGGGATGGGCATCTTAACAGCTCAACCAAATGCTTGCCTCTGCTCTTCTGCTTGTTCTGCGGGCTCTGTGCTGTTTTAGAATACAGCCCAAATGCCTTTGGGCATAAGCAAGTCCTTCCTAGTTCCCAGCCTCCTGTTTCCGCAGTGGAGCACTACACAATGGTCATACAAAGTCAGGTACACTTTACCACTTGGAGGGAATCTGAGCGGAATCTCAAGACCTTTGCAAATCCGCCAAAGACTAAATATTCTCATTATCAGTTTTCCCAGAAAGTCCTGTGGAGCATTACATACAGAATTACATGTGAAGTTGGAATCCTAAACAGCAAATACAGTAGGGGACAGATTCTATACTTACAAGTACATCACAGAACCATCTGACCTTGCAACAGGTGCAGAGAAAAAAGAGCCAGCAGGGGCTAATGAGGCTGAGGAAGAGGAGAGGAGGGTAGGAAGGCATGTTTTGTGAGGATTGGTCAGGTTCTGAGGGAAGGAGAAACAGCAGAGTCAACTTAAAGGATCTAAAGTTTTCTCTTCCCACTGGGAAACCACAGCAGTGGTGGGTGTGGCTGGGAAGCAGCAAGGTGCTACCAGGAACCACAGAATAGGAATAAAGAGTGTTACAGGCCCTACAAAGCATGCAAAGGTAAACTCACTGGACACTCACTCACTCATAATTTAGAACCAATCTTTAATTTTCTGTTTTAAACCTTCCCCCCTTTTAAAGAGTATTTATTTGAGAGTCAGACAAAGCACCCATCTCCTGGTTCACTCTTGAAACCCAAGCTGGGAACTCAATCCAAGTCTCCCACGTAAGTGGCAGGGACACAATTCCATGAGCCATCTCTGTTGCCTCCCAGGGTCTGCATTAGCAGGAAGCTGTCAAGAATCAAGAGGCTAATCCTCCGCCTGCGGCACTGGCACCCCAGGTTCTAGTCCCAGGGGACACCGGATTCTGTCCTGGTTACCCCTCTTCCAGGCCAGCTCTCTGCTATGGCCCGGGAGTGCAGTGGAGGATGGCCCAAGTGCTTGGGCCCTGCACCCCATGGGAGACCAGGATAAGATAAGCACCTGGCTCCTGGCTTCGGATCAGCACAGTGTGCCGGCTGCGGTGGCCATTGGAGGGTGAACCAACGGCAAAGGAAGACTTTTCTCTCTGTCTCTCTCTCTCTCACTGTCCACTCTGCCTGTATAAAAAAAAAAAAAAAAAAAAAAAAAAAAGCCGGTGCCGGCAGTGCAACCTAAGTACTCCAATGTAGGACAGGGGCATCCCAACTGGTGCCTTGCCTTCTAAGCTAAACATTTGCTCCTAGTCTTTAATTTTCCTATTCAATTCAATAGCAATTTAATGACTAGAGAAAGTATGTGTTTTAAAGGACAATGTGGAGCAACTTCATTTTCAGCACTTTAATTGCATGATCAGTTGCATCTTTTGGAAACTTGGGTTTGCTAGTCTTTGGTCTATCTTACTACACTAAAGTACTATTTTCCATTTGTCCTTGAGAGAAAATCTTAAATGAATTCTAGAACTTATAAAACTAATCCCAAATTGAACTGTTGGCTTTGAACCTCTTTGTATCTAGCTCTACAAAGTATTTCCAAGAAAATGAGAAGAAAAAAAAAAAGTACTTTTTGTAGTTTATCCTGTAATAGTGAGTTACTCTGCCCTGCTGGCAAATCTTTCAATCATTGGAGTTATATTTTCCCTTACTATTTTTCTATAAGCCTTTCCATAAAAACTTATGTTTTCCAATTGCCATATATTAATTTTGGAAATACAAAGTACCCACAACTTTTCGTAATCCAAAGCATTAACATATATTTATTTTACTATTTGAAAAAACAGTTTAGTTTTTTCCATATTTTGGGAGACAAAGATTCTTCCCTTTTTCACTAAAGAATAGTTACAAAGCCAGCGAGGTTGCTATTTTGCTCTTGTTTTGCTTATTCCCTATTTAGAAAATGACTTGACTTTTGTTCTCATTAGTTTTAGTCTGCTTCTTCATGTCTAAAACAAAGCTATCAACAGAATCTAAAGCAACTGTAACTCTACCTCAAAAGTTTCAGAGTAGAATTATGAGTCAACGATCTTAAAGATAATGCTTTGTCTGGATTAATTACAGTGCCCAATTTAATGCCCAGTATACAGAAATGCTGCCATGGCATTCTACAAGTTGTAAATACCAGAAATTCATGAATATGCCAAAAATACAGAGCATATTACTAGTTAGAGTAACAGTCAAAATAAGAAGTTAACTGAATTTTGTTAATAATTAATCTATAATTATTTTGATACAATCAGTTTATTCAACATTATTTTTAACTTCTTAGTCACTGTTCTGCTTATGCAGGAGAAAGACCAAGAAATCTATGGCAGTCTTCAAATTGTGCATTTAATTACACAAAATCCAAGTTAAAACTGATTACTCACCTTAGACGTTCTGAAAAGTGTGCTGGTGAAGTCACTGCGACTGGCCTGAGCGCGAGGCGACACAGAAGGTTTCGAACTTCTCCATAACTCACAGAACTGGAGGAAAGGGTTTCAGCTTCAGCAGCTACGCCTGGAAGAAAGGGCTGTCACGTGTTTGGCCTTGTATCATGTTTCATCCCCTCGTATTAGCAACAGGCACATCTAATTTTACTCGGTGACATAAACAGTTCATACCACACTCAAAATTGTTAAGGAACCAATTCCAGGACACAGCTCTCAGTGTTCCAAAAAACAAAACGAAGCAAAACCAGAAAAGTCCAAACCGTTCTTACAAAACCAACATTCCACCATTTAAAGCCTGAGTCATGAGTCTTGTACAATTAGAACTTTCTAAAATTAACTTCACCTCAAATGAATAGCAAAATACTTCTGAGACCGGTTTCTGGTAGCGTCTAATGTAGATATAACCTCATGAAAAATAATTTCAAATTGAAATACAAGCTTTAGAATTTGTGACTTGTAATACGACATGTTTACTATTCTTATCTAAATAAATTGTACACTATAAAATAATCACTATTTAAAAATCAGTTCCTTCAGCCTCTTTTTAATGAGAAAAGCCTTAAATGCTGAATATGATAATAAATGGAAAGCAAACCAGCTCTCCATGTTAAAATTATCACAGTGCTTCTGAGCAAACCAGTTTACATTATGTTTAGCAAATTATATGAATGTAATCATGTAGCTCTAAGTAATTTTTATTTAAAAATAATTAGACCCAAGAAAAATATTATGTACATGTATGTAAGTAAAAATCTACATATGAAGTATGACAAAATGATAAAAATTGTTAAATTTTAAAAATAAGATTAAAAATAAGCAAATAAAATAGCTTGAATGTTCAGTTTTTTATAAGACGAAAGAATAATAAATATCAAAGCTTTGAATGATCTTAATCTTTTTGCCTTGTTTTTAGGTAACCTCGTTTGCAGCATGAATTAAAACTGACAAATTATATATCTGAAATTTTAATTTTAGTACTAAAACTTGAATATAAGAACCAATCCAATGATACTCCATATGCTTGATTTTAATTAATTTTTTCTCAGGAGACCTTTTCTCTTCATTCTGCTTATTCATATTGTAACTTCTTTTGAAATTCGATGCTCCTATCACACTAACAGCTGCAGGTCTTAAATTAAAAGCCGATGCAGCTTCAACTGATCATGCTTCATAAGACATTTAAAAATCTTTCAAGAATCCTTCAACACAGTCAGACATAGAATTACAGCACAAAAATCAGTCCTTAACAAAAACACCTAGGATATTTAACAACAATGGTTTGGAAGATATTTTAGGATCAGTGACTATCTGAAAAGTCAAAATGTGAAACTCCTAACTCATATGCTGACTGAAATGGCACATTTAAAGGTTACATGTCGGGGACCTTCCCATCAAATCAGTAAGTGGGCTTTGTTGCAACGAACATCGTAATATTTTGGGGACTTTTTTTAAAAACAGCAGTCAGGTTGTGTGTGATCTTCACTCTGAGTTACAGGCTTATTTAGTACCACCCACCTCGGCTTTCAGTACTGCGGAGGAGGACTTAAAGAAGGTTTTGACGGTATAGATGAACTGAACGCACTAACACTGACCTTGACAGTGGTTCATGGAGGTCTAGCCACAGTTGGTAACTCGCATGCACAGATCTGCTATGCGCCCAGTGGAATCAGCATTCCCAAGCTGAAGAGACCTTTGCTGAAGTTTTGCTCTAAGGCTCTCCCAGCTGGACGCCATGTGCTCCAGGTTGCACAGCTAACGCGCGTGGGTTGCGTGGGTTCAGCAGACTCTGCTGTTACCTCGACTGTTGCCCTGAGTTCCCAGGACGTAATCCCCTAGACGTCCCCCTACTCCCAACTCACCATCTCCTCAAGCCTGCTCTGTCGTCCCGCCCTGCTTTCTTGGTTTCTGCCTGGATTCCCCGACAAGGTCAGGCAGATGTGGGAGGGACCCTCCGCCGCCGGCCAGTCACAGGGTGCCGTGGAGCCCCTTCCCATTCCCTCCGCCTGTGCTCCCCTCACCTCCGTGGCCCTGCGCACCTGTGGGGACCACCTGTGGCCTCCCTGTGGCTCCTCTGCTTCCAGGCCCTGTGTACCCCATCTTACACTCGCGCGACTGCCAGGGAAGGGCAGGGGACAGAGAATTCTGTCGTCTCGCGCCTCTGCGTCACAAAGACCCCTCGGTGAGCCCGTGTGAGTCCTCACCACAGCAAGACTCCAGGATGGTCCTCCAGGTCCCCTAAGAACCCAGGAAAGTCACCAGGTGAAGGTGGTGGGGGTACCTGGCTGTATCTCTGACTAGGGCCACCTCCCATCTCTTTCTGGCTCTCATATCATCATCAGCTTTCTCTGGATGATTTCCAACTTATGACATAGGTATCTGTATTTACCTTGCCACCACTTATTTATTTATTACCTGGCCTCCCTAATAAGGAACTCCAAAAAGTTTGTTTAAAGGGGAATTTATTTATTATTTTTTACTTGACAGAGTTAGTGAGAGAGAAAGAGAGAAAGGTCTTTCATCTGTTGGTTCACTTCCCAAATGGCTGCTATGGCCGGCATGCTGCGCCGATCCGAAGCCAGAAGCCAGGTGCCTCCTCCTGGTCTCCCAGGCGGGTGCAGGGCCCAAGCACTTGGGCCATCCTCCACTGCCTTCCTGGGCCACAGCAGAGAGCTGGACTGGAAGAGAAGCAACCGGGACTAGAACCCGGCACCCATATGGGATGCTGGTGCTGCAGGCGGAGGATTAACCAAGTGAGCCACGGCACTGGCCCCTAAAGGGGAATTTAAAGATGTTTACTTTGGTGTAAAAATTTTGAAATTCATGCATAACTTTTACATAATACACATTTCATGATCTTCTAAAGACCCCTGAGTATGGTGGATTTCAAAAAATGTTTGTGGCAAAATAAACATCTTTTAAAGCCCTTTAAAAAACACGGACTTCTCATACTAGACTGTGAACTCCTTGCTTAATGTCTTCATACAACGAGCTTGAAATGAGCTAAACTCTGAACCTAGAAAAAAAAAAAAGCAGAGCTAACATAGGATTTGGATAATGTTATAGGAATTACCCAGAAGAGGTCAGTATAACAGTGATAAGAGTATGGTTTGGAGGGCGGTTTAAATGTGATGTGAAGTTAAATTACTCTGTAAGTGATAGACTTTAGAGTCTAAATGTATCATGTTAATTATTTGCCTCTTCAATTAAAGTTACAGTTCTGCCAAGTAGATGGCTGTAGACCTTTCATAAGCAAAAGAAGAGATCCAATGATTCTAGACATAATTGCAAACTAAGGGTGCTCACTTGGATCAAAATTACCTGGATGATTCTCACCCTGATTCTCTGATTAGATTTCAACAGAATTCGCCCAAATACATACATTTTAACAAAGATAATTCATATTACCTTTGAAGTTGCCATAATAAAATAATCAGACTAATAATAGACTACTAAATGTATTTTTTTTCTTGGCTCTTTTGTGGGAATTTAGGAGTTGATACTTAGTATAGATAGCTAATTCAGTATAGTTATGGAAAACAAAGGGAAAATAAACCACGTATAATAAAGAAGGAATCTTTGGGCTAACAGACAAATTTGAGGTATAAAAAGGACTAAAAGAAAAAGAAAAATTACATTTCAGAAGAGAAAGAAGAAGTCCTACCTGAAATCTCAGTATCATGGCTTATCTACTAGTAAGTACTGAATCGGGTCATAATATGCTGAAAAAACGATGATTCCATGGACATAGGCCTTTGCAAACCCATAGGAACACGTGATTCAACTCCTTTCCATGTAGACTTCTTGGGCACAGAATGGACATGCAGTGTTTCACACCAGAAACACAGGAAATTCAATAAAAATAATTATGACAATGGGATTTGTACACGCTCAAGAGGGATCAGAAAAGAAGGGCTTACAGTAAAAATCCCACCGTCACTAGTTTCTTTATGCTCCATCTCCTGTCCACTTCTCTGAAGTCTTGACTTAGATCTTCCTTTTCATACTTAGTCAAGGTGACATTCTTGAGCATTTAAGTGACATCTGGTGTATGTCAGTGTTGTAGGTTTAGTTCTTGCACACTGTCACCCGGCCATCGTCTTCACCCTTTTCCTAGTGCTGTAGTTTGGATTTTAGTTTTGGTATCCCTCAGAGATGCATGTGCTAAGGACGTGACCCAGGGAAGTGCTGTTGAGGGAGAGCAGGGACTTGCTCCGATTACAGCATCTGGGAGGCGTGCCCTCAGAAGGTCGTCCTTGTGAAAGGGCTGGTTAAAAGAGCTCAGTGTGGCCCAGCCTCTGCTTCCTGGCTCACCGTGTGATCTTCCCTGTATACATGCTCTGCCATCCACTGCCCTCATCAGATGCTAGACTGACGGAATGCCCGATCTTAGACTGTGAACCTCGAAAACCGCGAGTCGAAATGCACCTTTCTCTTTCACAAGCAGCTTCTCTCAGGCATTTGCTGCAGTGAGCAAAGGTGACTAATAGGCTGCGGCAGGGCGGTCATTCCTTGCAGCTCCTTCTGTGGTCACATCAGCAGTTTCAATGGTTTACAGCAGCATTCATTTCTTGTTGCGAATCACAGAGTATCTCTGACTCTTAGGCTCTAGAACTAAGGACCCCATCACTCAGCCCACTCTGCTTCCACAGGTCCTGCAGGGCCTGCCACTGCCTCTTTTACACCATCTGAGCTGATCCCAGTCACCTTCCATTGTGAAACGACACCATCTCCTGTGATTGGATTAAGTCGATTAAAAAAATAAAAATGTGGAGCCAGTGCTGTGATCCAGGGGGTTAAAGCCCCAGCCTGCAGCTCCAGCATCCCATATGGCTGCTGGTTAGAGTCCCGGCTGCTCCGTTTCCAATCCAGCTTCTTGTTAATGTGTCTGGGAAAGTAGCCAGAGTCTGGCCTAAGTCCTTGGGCCCCTGCACCCATGTGGGAGACCCAGAAGAAGCTCTTGCTTCCTGGCTTTGAACCGGCTCAATTCTGGCTGTTGCAGCCATTTGGGGAATGAACCAGTGGAAGGAAGACCTCTCTCTATGTCTCTCCTCTCTCTGTAACTCTGTCTTTCAAATACATAAAATAAAAAATTAAAAAGTGCAGTAAACAGTGCTCTCATTTTTCTAACGACCTATGTTTCCTTTCAGAGACCAATACTGATTTCCCAACCCCTGTGCTAACCAACATTTATATTGCCAGCTGCAGACAGCAACACTTTATTAAATATCCCTCCGAATATATGAATTATTTTATACTGACACTAGGCCTTTCTCATACAGTTTTTACTGTTGGAATTTCTGAGTATGTTTCTTCTTTGCTATGAGAAGAAACTGTACTAAATATGCCTTCCTCAGTCTAGCCTAGCTGTCTCCTGGCTTTTATTAGTTTAATCTGCTATTTGGGATTGATTCCATTTTCCTTCCTGAATGCACTCGCCTTCATTTCCTAATGGAAACAGTTTCTGTCTGTTGAATTGTGACTTTCTTGTGTGACTGACCTCCATTTCCCGTATTTTCCAACTGTCTTCCTTTTTATGTCTTGCAGTCTCTGCCTCTAGCACATTCTGCTGCTTCTGCCAAGTGTCCAGTAGTAACATGCATCAGGCACAGTCTCCTTTTCCTCCTTGGCACAGGCTCTCCCTCCTCCTTTCTGGTCTGGTAGGCTGAGCCTCCGCATGAGTGCGGTTTTGATTGGGTGTCACTGCTTTCCTGTTTCCTCAACCTTCTCTCATGTCCTTTCTGCACTTACCCCCTTGCTGGGATGGATCAGAGCCTCAAGTAATTATTCAGAAAGAGTATTTGGGAAGTAGACGGTCTGAGTCTTTTTATGTCTGAAAATTTATCTGGTCTGGCCTAAAAGCAGTTAATAGCTAGTCTCATCTGGCACAGAATCTGGATTCAAATAACTTCCTACTGAACTTCAAAGTCAATGCTCTACTGCTATCCATCAGTAAGAGTTCTTTCAGAGAAGTGTGATTCTAATCTATTCGCATTTCTAGTTTACATTGGGTAAGATACATTACTGTTCAAGGGTACCTATGCCTGTCTTTTGGCAAAACTATATTCTCCCCAATCTGTTTCCTTTTGCATTTATTTACTATTTTATATATCTGATGTGATCAAGGAGAAGATAACATTAATGTATAAAATGTAAATGTATTTGTTCTTATTGCAAAGCAATAATTATCAAGTAAGTATACCCAGAAACTCACATATTTGATGGATGTTCTAAACTTTATTTAAGTTGATGATGAATTTTGGATTAAAGATTAGAAAATAGATGACTGTCAGAGTTATGAAAGAAATAAAAGATCATATAAAATAAATTTGGAGGGAAAGGGCAAAATTGAAAAACAGAATACTGGAAGCCTAGAAATAGAGGAATAGGGAGATCTGTGTGCATGGATTTATATTTAAAAAAAAGTATTGATTTGAGAGGCAGACAGAGAGACAGAGAGGGTGAAGTTGCATCTACTGCTTTACTCCCCAATTGCCTGTAGTAGCTAGGACAGATATGAGGGCCAGGAACTCAACCCAGGAAGATCCAATTGCTTGAACTATCATTGATGCCTCCCAGGGTCTCCAGTAGCAGGAAGCTGGAATCAGAAGCAAATCTGATATTTGAACTCAGGTGATTGTAACCTCTAGGCCAAATGCCTGCTCCTGTGCCCAGCAACTTTGAAACTATATTAATCACTGAAATTTGTGAAAGTGCTCCTTTATATAAGGAACACTTACTCCTTCTCTGAGCTTGTTCCTTTCATTGTCGTCACATTCCTGGACAGTGTTTACTCATTTTTCTCCAGGGAAAGTGGATTTATGCATCTCATAGATGAGCTGGAAAAGAAATGAGCATGCATGGTGCAGCTCCGTCTTTTTTAGGCACCTGGCTTCAGGCCTGCAGAGGGTACACTTATTTGCACTGACCCTTCATGTTGGAAGCTTAACAAGCAGCCTTCCCAGTGGGGACCTGTGACCATTCAGAGCTACCTGAAGGGTGAGAGGGTGAGTCCTTGCCAAAAATGTATCACTGGAAGCCCACTGTCGTTGTACACCTAGGAGA